TTCTTATATACACGATTTTTTAATATGCTTCTAATAGAAATTTATTACGAATTGTAATTATATTACAATATCTTTTAATATTACACTTTTCTAAACACTTGACTATATTTATTTCTAATCCATTATTAATATAAATCTACCAATACTACGTACTTGTTTTAGTCTTATGATACATTTTGTGAAACGATACTTGAATAATTTTAATTTAAACGATCTTCATTTAAATTGATTTAAACCGATTTAATATCAAATTAATGATGATATTCATTTTGGTACACTACTAAACAGAAGAAAAAAAAAAATAATAATAATTCACTGATAGAACTGATAATGAATATTATTATAAAATTATTATCTTACACTTTTGAATCAAACATAACTTATTTATTTTCTATCAATCTTCTTTTATTTCACACACTTATTGAAACAAAAATTCGAACACGTTGATAAAAATCCTAATATTGAAATATAAAAAATAAATGATAAAGATCGTCATCTCATTCATAGGATAACAAAATATTCAAGTTATTATATATATTTAAGGAGGAAAGAAATTAGGGTAGTTTACACGCTCGCGATTAAAATCAAATGATTTATACATATATATATAGATATAGAATAAAATCGTATGAACGCGTCGATAGTTGATACAAGACTAAAATTATCGTTCTCATGTAAGTGAAGAACTCTTTCGTTGGTTTGTAAATTGCGTGGGTCGCGATAGAAGGACAAGGAGAACGAGCAACTGAAAAGGAGCAAAAGGATCTTTCTTTGCGAGAAAGTCTTTGGTGCCCTTACCTTTACGCGGGTACAGGGTTGCTTACTTGCTTGCATGCATGCGTGCTTATTTCATGGTAACCGGCATTTTTACTTATATATATGTATATGAAATATTGTTCTTATTCGTAATTTTTTGTTTCCAAAATATTTTCTATCTTTAATTGTATAAATCTAAAAACGTATATATGTATATATGCTATATGAAGAAATCATCATGATTTCGTTTGATATTTAACCTAAATTTTATCAACCCCACCTTCTTTCATAATTTTCCTCGATTATTATCGATAAACCTACAATATGTTTTATTTGTATAAGAATTACCAAGAAAAAAAAAAAAAAAAAATTCTCTTTTCCTACCCAGTCAAAAAATAGATAAAAATACAAACTGTTGAAGACAATCTTATCACGATATTATTATAAGAGTTTCACGTTGACATTTGTCAGGAATGTTTCGCAGTTGGTTTAATTAATATAATTTGTCGATTAAAAATAAAATACAAAAGTATGATAGAATATCTAACTTACTGGTTTTGAAAATATATATTGGCCGTGCACTAGCGCGTTTGTTTGTGGTGGTGGTGGTTGTGGTGGTGTTGTTGTTGTGTATGTATGTTTGTAATATTTCCCTTTCTTCTTCTTCTTTTTATTTTCCTTGCACAGTTCCCTCTCGTCAGATCTCGTACCGTTTCGTATAGTTCACGCTCTCTTCGAGCGTACCACTCTCCAAAGAGTAAACGAAATTAGGTCTCTCGCACAGCGCGTATTCGCGATCGAAAAGATCCTGTCGATGAATCGCACTCTTTTTAAACCTCCACTCTTTTCTTTTCTTTTCTTATCTTCTCTTCTCTTTCTTTTTTTTCTTTCTTTCACTTTAAATACACTTTCGTCTTTTATTTTCAAAAAATGTTATCCAAGAAGAACCATAAGAGAGAGAGATAGAGAGAGAGAGAAGAAGAAGAGATCAACAAACAATGAAATATTTCACTTTGCCCAAATTTTTTAACAAAATAATTAATAATGAAACTCAAAAGGATCGAAACAAATGAAAAATAATTCTAAACAAAATGTACAATTGATTAACACACAATGTCACAGATGATACATTTTTTCGTAGATCGATAGAATAATAATAAAGAATAAGTATAAGAATAAGAAGGAGATTAAGATTAAGAAATAAAATTAAGAATAAGATCAATTGGAAAGCGTCTAGACACTGTCGTTTCACAGAGAGTATTCTCTCTTTCACTACCTATATTTACGTCCCTCTCTCTCTCTCTCTCTCTCTCTCACACACCCTTTCTCGTAGAATAAAAACACACGTGTGCATGGACGAACTTGATAATAAATATTTATATATACATATACATATATATATATATACATTTACATATATATATATATGATGTGTGCGTACCTCAATTGGAACTTGCGATATACTTTTTTGTTATTGTTTTTTTTGTTTTTCTTAAACTAAACTCTCGTCTCGAAAGAATAAAAAGAAATAGAAGAGTCTTATTAAACGTAAACGTCGTTACCAGTTGTCAATTATAAATCTGAACTTTTTGCTTTTTTTTTTTCTAGTAAATCAATATATATATAAATATATATATATATATATATATATATAGTAAAGAAGAGATGCGTCTGTCTCTTGTGGAGGTTCGGGCTAACATTAACTAGCGCGGACTGCAGCCGCTTATAATATGGCCGAGGCGCGAACCAATGAGAACTTGCGCTCTTCCCGAGGCCCCCCTCCCCGCCCCTCTTCCTACACGGCCCTCCTCCTCCTTCTTTTCCTCCTCATCCTCCTCCTCCTCCTCCTACTACTACTACTACTACTACTACTCCACCTCCTCCCCAACCCTCCCACTCCCCCCCTACGCCTCTTATCCCCCCCCCCTTTCTCCTCAACGCGAGAGAGCCTGGACCCTCCGCGTGTTACTCTCGATCGGCGTTTCTTCTTCTTCTTCTTCTTTTTTTTCTTCTTCTTCTTCTTCTTATTCCTCCTCCCCCTACCCCCTCTTTCTCCGCCATCACATCGACCATCCGCGAGCAGCGCACGGTTCTTCTTCTTCTTCTTCTTCTTCTTTCAAAGTCCTCCTCTTCTCGACGTGCCTGATCTTCTTCTTCTTCTTCTTTTTATTCTATTACTTCGTCTTCGTCTTCTTCTTCTTCTGAATGTGAGTTTGATTTTGATTCTTCTGATTCTGAGTGTCTTCGTTTCATGCGTATCAACAACTGATTGGATATAGGTATTTGTTTATATACACGGGAGATATAGGAGAATTGATATTGAATTGTTACGTGTATTGATTAAAGTATTCAAAAATCTAAAATGTAAATGTGATTTTTGTGATGGGGGTTTTTTTTTAATGGAAGCAATTGGTAAGAATGTATGTTAAGATTCAATAAATTCATGGGACTGGTAGAAAGTGAGTAATTATAATACAACGTCAATGTTGACTGACATGAGCTTCGTTTCGATTTGAATTTATGCGAAATCGAAAAAAAAATGAGAAATATGGTTTTTTTATAAATAGTAAAAAGAAAAAGAAAGAAAAGGTTAGTTTTGTAAGTAAAATAAAAGATTTTATTAATGGTCGCTGAATTGTATTAGAAAGTTCCTGCTTGATATTTTCGTATACTTGTTCTACGAGTATCATTTTTTCTTCTTCTTCTTTTTATGCGAAATTATTAATGAAAGTATAACAAATATATATATATATATATATGAAATGATTAATTACAATATGGCGTCAGTGATCAATGGTCACAAAATTGAAATCAATTAACGATCTTTTACAATGCGATTGATATTTTCATATAATTTGTTTTTTATACAAATAATTTTAGTCTTTATATTTTATATGAAATCAGAAAAAAATTGAAAGTATGTATTAAAAATTGAGAAAAAAAAACAAAAAAAAGAAAAAAGAAGGAATGAATAGTCTGAAAAATTGTTGGCAAAATAAATATGGCGTTCCTGAATCTAAAGAGTTCTCTTTCAGCTTGATTAATGTATTTATCTGCAAATTTTATATATATATATATATATATTCGTCACTTTTATAAATGTATTAGATTGTTTTTTTTTTCGTATCAAACCATAATGGCTGTTGAAATCATGTATTACTAAACACAGAATGTGTTCATTTACTAAGAAATAATTATAATATGACGTCAATGGTCACCAAATCAAAAAATTTTTTCGCTCGATTAGAATGTTTAGTATTTTAACCATATACCTATGAATCTTAAACGCTTTTATTATACTATATTATATATTTATGTATATAAAAAATATAAATTGTATTAAAAAATTAGAATCTCTCTCTCTCTCTCTCTCTCTCTCTCTCTCTCGTCACAATTTTTATATAAATTATATATACAAATATTCAAATTGTGAAAAAAATTGGAAAAAATGTAATTTTATTATTCATAAATAACGTTAGCTAATTATTCCTTCATTATTAACGCAAATAATGTGTTCCAAATGTAATTAATGGTCATGAATAATAGTGATTAGATCATGTCGATCATAGAATAAAAGGTTCGATTAAAAAATTCCGAGGATTTCTTCAAGAATAACTTAGCGTAAACTGAGCGAAAGGTTGCATCAACCTTTTCGAGTCGTTGTATCTGTGTTTCTATATGTCTGTCTGTCTGTGTGTGTGTGTTAGAAATCCACGAGAGACGTTTATCGGCCGATGTACGTGCTTATTATTAAAAGGTTCTGCGTAACGAGTCGCCCGCCCCTCCGCTTTCCCGTTAAGCGTTCGAAAAAGAGAGCTCGCAACGGAAAGTGGTTTTACGAACGTGTATACCTACATACTTTACTTTACTCCACATTCTTTACTAGTCAATTGATCCTTCTGTGTAAATTTTTTTTCCTTTCTTTTTTTCTTTTTTTTTTTTTTTTTTTTCTATTTTTTTCTTTTTTTTTTACCGTTTTATAAAAACCTTTTGCATTTTACACTTGTGCAAATAACTTTCGAGAAAAAAAAAGAAAATATAAAAGAATTTATTTATAGTTTATGTGTGTATATATATAAATTGTGAATTATATTTGAATAGAGAGATATAGATATATATATATAATGAAATATATAATTATATATAAAAAAAAAATGTCACATACAAATAATAATTTCATATTTACGTTTGATTCGAATAATGTTGTCATAAAAAAAAATCATTTATCTTGATAGATGCTAATCAGAAATAAATATAATACCGCGTATCACAGTAATTCTAAAAATTTGTCAAATAAATCAAAAAAAAAAAATGATGATTTTAATAAATGATTATATAAAAAGACGCAAGACATTTGATACATACGTTTGATACCAGTAATATAAATTTGTGCGTTGTTTCGTTGATTTGACAATCTCCGAGTTGAAATTGTAGAGTTTAGAGTTGAATTGATTTACGTGAAAGAGAACAGTGAAAGAATACAAGAAAAACAAGATGAGTGTAAACGCGTAGTAGTCGTCGTCTCCTTTGAAAGTCTGAGTATCTTGACCCGTGTCGCGTCGTAGTCTTTCTGTATAATTGTAGTTGTAGTAGTAGGTGTAGAAATAAATGTATTTGTTTCCTCGTAAAGACGTAGTTTATTATAGCTTTTTGGGACACACCACACAGAAACCTTAATTCTTCATATTTCATTTATGTTTTAAGAGTTTATTCCTTCATTCGTAAAATACATATTTCAATGTACTCTACGTTCTTCGTTTATTCTATCGTTCATTCGTTCGTTCGTTCATTTGAAGTTTTCTCGAACACGATCGTTCACAGACTAAACGTTAAGAGAGTGCATTTAAAACGTGATTTGTATAAATGGTAGCAGGATTTCTTGTCTCGGGCAAGTTCAACACCCACGTATTTACACTAACGTTATAACAAGTATTTCTATTTCTCAACAGTTCAAATTGTTTCTCTTTATGTCCTTTTTTTTGTTCTTTTTCTTTTTCTCTAAACTCGTAATATTAATTTGATCTTTGACTTATATTATGGATTTACGATTGAAATGGATTGTATGTTGGTTCATTGAAAAATGTTCAACTAATTGTATGATTTAGTGATATGAATATTATTAATTAAAACGATATGATTGAATTATTATATTTATCAATCGTTAGAACAATTTCTCTATCATTTTTTTGTTTTCTCTTATAATTTGTAATATTTATTTTATCCTTGATTTATATTTTGCGAATTTATCCATTATTTTTATGTACAATGTTTTGCTGATTGAAAAATCTTAACTTGTTTTATGATGTTAATCATTTGATAAAACGTTAATTTTGTTTTGTGGATATTATAAATAAGATAAATTATGTTCATTCATTGTGTGTAATAAAAATCATAAATTAGATGATATTAAATTATAACTGAAAATTAGTTAGAATAATTGAATAGAAAAATTAGACATGTTTTTATACATTTTTCAAGTTTTAAAAATTGAATTAGATTAAATTTTAATTAAGTGATACATCAAATTAATGATATGAACGTTATAAATAAATCTAACATATTTATTATCATCATTATATACCTATAAAACAAATTTTTATTTTATTTTTTATATTTTAAATCTTCCAAAGAGAGAGAGAGAGACATTATACAAAATCATAAATTATGAATAAAAATTCAAATTTATTTGAATCATTACAGATATATTTCTCAATGATCAATCTACCAAGAAACTAGTAAGAGATTTAAATGCACGATATAACGTTTAAATGCTAATGATTACTGATCTCAAAACATGATAGATATATCACGTGAAAATGAGTAATTGTATCGTACGATGGATATTACAATCTAATCGTTTAATGTCTTTTGCGAGTGGTTTTTTTTTTTTTCTATCCATTATCTAGTCTTTTTTTTTCCAACGAAACGTTTGGTTGCATAATGCACCGTAGGATCACGTCAATCAAGACTTTAAGGAAATATGATTCATTCGAAAATACTAACTAGAAAAGGTAATATTACTGAATCGATTCGATCTTCCTATTATGTGGAAATAATTAAATTAATGGAAAGTCTCCCAGTTTTTGTTATTTTTCCGATCAATTAGATACTAATATAAGTCATTTCTACTATTTATAATTTTTCTAATTCTTACACATGAATAATATTTTTTTTTTACAATAGCAATAAAATAATAATAATCATCTGTAGAAAGAATATAGAAAATTGTCAATTATTATAAGAAATTTCAAAGTTATGTTCTATGTATTTGCATTTTCTCATCTTGACAAATAAACATAATTTTTAATAATAATAATAATACGTTTAGTATGAGGTTCAACCGACGAGGATCAAAAACAAATTCTGTTTCCAATTAGCATAATGAGATTGGGATTTATCATATAAAAGAATAAGAACAATTAGCCAAAGACCTGATTGACATTTCTAATTGCTCGGTTACATCTTTGACGTCATTTTACAATCATTGAATATCATGATATTCAATATTGTCTTGAGTTCTTCTTCGAATAAGAGATTAAAGCTTAAGAAAAAAAATCATTAGAAAGAACTTTTTATTTGTTTCCGTTTTTCTCTGATCAATTATCATAATTTTCATTGAATCTTGATTATGTTATTAGATATCTTAATGAAAATAAAAAAAAAAATAAAAGAAAAAATACAAATATTGTTAATCTCGAATCTAATGAATCAAGTTTAGATACTATGATGATAATAGCACGTACGATTTAATTCACATGAATGAATGATTTCACTTTTATTCACAAACTATAAAAGATCACATAGATATCCATGTGATTACTTTTTAAAAATCATTACAAATATTTTCTACGAATTATAAATTTATATTAATATAATTATATTATTATTATTAATATTAAT